CACTTCAAAACTCATCACTTTATAAATATATCATCACAAGAAATTTCCATGATCATGGCTGGGTTGTGAATTAACAGTCTCTAATCGATCCACCAACATCAGTGCCAGATGGCTTGAATCTACTGGTATCACATCCTTTGCCAATAATTTCTCGGGGGCAGCGAATGGGGCGGGTTTTGTTGTGGCCAGCATGCATGCATGCATGCACATGTTAAATATGGCCGCTATATGACAAATTAGCCAGCTGAAGTATGACCACGCGAATCATATGGCACGTCGTCACAGGTGAGGATGGATTGAGAATTACCCATCGGTGCATAAAATGGTGTCACACATGAGATTATGGATTAGTCATTGCCCCATGGTGGTCACTTGACTTCATTTGCTTTGCTTGGATAAGTAGTACAAGAGGATTCCCCTGCAACAACTCAATACACGTTTTTTGCGTGTATATTTTGTCCCTTCCTATAGCATGCTTCGCTTCAAGGAGTATAGTGTTTATAAATACAGATATTTTGTCCATTCCTGTAGCATGTTTCCACTGATCTCTAATTCTAACTTATGCTGTAATCAGTTTAAATGTTAAACCCAAACGACATTTTAACTATAAAATATATTGAAAGAAAGAATCATCGAAAATGTCCTTTGGGTTTAACATTTAAAACTGCAAATCCTTGGTTTTAATAGATCTAAGCACCATATATAGCTGGGAAAAATCAGCCCGAAACTTTCACGATCGACATCAGGTTATACCATATATAGCACACTTGCAAGAGAACCACATCAACCCTGAAAACTTTCAGAGGTGAGACACCCCAGCTATGCAGTGTAACTCAAAATGGGCAGCAAATAGTCATACTTGATCAAGGAACAATATCCAAAGTTGAAATGGTTCAATTTTGGTCGCTTGTTAGATTAGTAGAAGATGCAAATAGGACAGCCAGTCTTAAAAACTAAGTAGCCCCAACATTATTGATGAGCAATAGAACAACAATGCCAAGTGTGATTATGAGTACCATTTCGGGAATTTTTTTTTTTTGCACATCCAGTTCCAGTATGTACTGTTGCAAGCATCTCTAACGATGCAGCATCTGAACAAACATCAGGAACGAAGCAAAGTGTAGCAGTTTGGAAGCAACAAACATCTCAATCTAACCAGATGCCCCTGCAGATTCAGTGGCTTCAGCTTCCTTCTGAGTTTCCAGGGCCGTGACACGCCTGTTTAGAGCTTCATAACGTTCATCAAGAGTTCCATAGATTCCATTCACCTGGAAAAAGCAAGCATCCACACTCAGTGCTAAAATAAATAATTTATTAGGCCATCTAAAGAACAAGGCAAAATTGAGAATGCACTGAAGCAAAAGCTTCCAAACATTGATGCCACATTAGCATTTTCATACTATAGCAATTGAAACTAATTTGATACCCAAAAGAGACCCGATAAGACATTTAGAATTTCTATCAAATCATATAACAATATTCATGGAAAGAATGAACTGTATAGTAGATTATTTGACATTATTGAATATTCATATACAAAACACCAGCAGCTGTAGAAACCACCATTAGAATTCCTGTACAGGTTTAGAAAACTCGAGATAATCCCAAACATCTATAAATAAGGATCAACACCAGTAACAGAAAACGTCTCTTAAGGTAATCCATTCTCATCAATCATCAACCAGCCTATGCTTAAATGAGAAAGGTACAAAAAGAACAAGGTTTCATCCTTCTATCTTGAGAGAAGGGCTTCAACTTGCACTTACATCGTTCTCAGAGCCTAAAAGATTTAATTGAGTTACACTTGCCTCATCCAACTTAGGGATCTCTCCAAAATATTTTGAGAAACTCGAGCCTTATTTGCTGCTTCATCTGTTCTCCACCTCCTCCCTCATGCTATTTCATTCAAGTGAGTTTCCTAAGCTTGATTTTCATCCATCATCCTTTTTGGTGAGCCATTAATAAATGAATCCTCCTAAAAGACAAAAATAATAGACTACCTCGAGGAGGTGGAGGAACCTACAAGCGGATGCAGACCATTTTGCTAAACCATTACATATATTGTCTTCTTCTTGATCTTTGTGTTTGTTCTTTTACTTGTGCTCTTATTGGGCTTTTGGAAATTTTGTTATCCACACATTATTTTCAGTAAGCTTAGTGCCTAAATGATTCAACAAGAACTTTAGCTATTCAAAACAAGATTTAACATCATATTACCTTAAAAACTCTTGTTGCTGTCTTTGATGCCTTGGTGAAAGTACAAAGAAAATGGGCGATTTAGTTACAATTTTTATAGTGTCTTTTAGGATTATGTACATAAATATATTGGTCACCAAACCATCTATTTATTTTAAATATGTTCAAACCAAGAATGAAGTGTACAAAAGGATGATGTGGTTGGTAGGACTAAGAATGCTCTGAAATATAACAGGTATAAGGATGCATAATAACAAATGGAGACTACAGCGCTAAGTAGAAGGCAAAATATCAATATCGTACACATCATATCAGATTTTTCTATCAACCCGATTTTATGATTCTGCTTATGTTATTTTTCATGCTCTAGGAGATATAGCACATAAAGACCTAGTGAAGATAAGTATATGGTGCTGGAACACTAAATGTGTTGAACAAGATAGCATCAGATTCTGATGAATGAAGTGCTTGCTTAAGTGTTTTGTTAAATTCAATGCATCAAGGCTCTTTTGCTGCAGTCACTGCATTCATTGACTTAGCAACAATGGATGTTATATAATGGACAACTTTTGGATCTGAAAATCTGAAACTCACAGAAGATGCACAAACCATTTTGGATCATCCAGCCACTACATCATCTTCTAAAGGAATTGGACCGCTGACTCTCATATCCACCAGACTAACATAAACAGATTAGCTTTTCAATTTATTTTTCAGATGCATTTGTGTGATGCAACTTTTTAATGTCAAAAATATAGGTTGAGCTCATCATGAGCTTATAAGCCGTGCTCATCCAATCAAATATTTGTCTGTTGTCAAGGTCTGAAAAGAAAATCCACAAAGAAGGACCATTTAGGGAATAAAACAAGGACACACAGGACAGTGCTATGGATATTTCTCATACGAGACCAAAGAAAATGTAATGTTCGTCATTTGATAATGATGGCTTTGATAATGCAGTCGTCAAGATGTAAGCAACAACACAAATGTCCATATGATTCATGATTTGCTTCCCAAAGTACCACTAATCCATCTAAAGCAATGCCTCCTGTTAGATTTCAACTTCATTCAACTTGAAGCACCATCATCTTTTAAAGATGGAAAAGAAGACAAGTGTGGCTTCATCTTCTAAAACATTTTGCTGCAGTAATTCTCCTAAGATCTTTTTGAGGAGTCATTATTTCTATGGAGCATTTGCAACTATACATAAATTTGTTTTTTATGTCATGAGAACTGAGATTTCGATAATTCTGACAGCATTGAAGTAGTTTGATAGAATCAGGTAACTACATAACTCTGAATAAACAAATTTATTACATTCCCTCAAACAAACCTTTTCATTTAGTTCCTTTTTCAAAGGGACTATCTGCTAGAGTCTACAATGAGATAATAACAGGCATTCTTGCAGCACAATAAATGACAGAAAACAAACAATGAGAAAAATAACGAGTAGATCAGCCTTCTTAAATTTGATAAATGCAACAGAATGATATGCCTTCCCAAGCTTATTTTGAAATGCTTCTTACGGAAAGTATCAATATACTTAAGATTTATAAGTCTTATCAACACAAAATACCAATATTGCATTTTATTAACCAATTTTTTTTATATGAAACAACAAACTACTGAAAAACTGTCTCAGAGAAAATTAGCCCTCCTAATTAACATACACAAAACAGAGAGTTCCTAACCATGAGCAGAATGTAACGATAAATTTACACCAAACTTCCAAGAAAAAAAAGGAAAAACGTGTCCCTTTGACTTGAACATTTCTAAAAAAAAATAAAAAATAAAACTAGCATGTAGCTGCATTGTTGAAGTTGACATGAGATTTCCCTATTTATAGAAACTCACATATTATATATAAGTAATTATACAGATAAGTACTACTAGACTAGAATCACCCTTGATTATCGCTTGGATAGAACTTCATTTTGAAGTAGTTCAGAGAAACAAAAATTTCCAATAAAATAACAAGGATGATACTGGAAATTTCATATTCAAAACAAGGGAACTCAAAAGGACTTTTGAAATAAGAAGAGGAATAAAAACTTCAGCCAATCTACTTACTGCAGCTCAACCAAAAAGATCTTGCATCAAAATAGAAATGTTCAAATTATAGAAGATTATTATAGTAAAGTTTTAACATAGGGCAAAAAGATCCTAGGAAACAAATTCCATTATGCAAGTCATGTCAAAAAGACATAACACACTCCCCAGCCCCCAGACCCCCCGCCCCCCGCCCCAACAAGAAAAAAGAATTCTCTCTGAATTAAAATGTGAACATGGTTCATCAATCAGCACCCAGTTTTTACATGTTCTAGAACTGATTTCCCAATCCTTTTCTCCTATTAATCATAACATGAATAACATAAATGTGGATACGACATCTTTGCCAATGTGATTCTAACAGTCCTACAAGCAATGTTTGACATCTCAAACATCTAGGTTAACCCTTTCAGCTATTACCTTACAGAAAACTATATAACCTAACGTACGGTGCAACAAAAGGAATCACCCTAGAAGGCAACCGATCGGTTCCCCCCTCACATTCAACTTCTCAATTCTTTCGAAATCGATCCTTTTCTCAGGCCAACCTTCCTTTGCGATTTGTCGATCAACGAGTAACGGGGTCAAAGAAAAGGTGCAGGATTCACAGATAAGTAGTGGAAATGCAGAAAGACGGGATTTTTCTTCAAGAAATCCATCTATTCGCCACGTACAATCATCGAAAGCGAATATATGATTGCAAGCTAAAAGAAATAAACTAGAGGCGAGGACAAAGGGAGAGGACAACCTGTTGGGCGATGGCGTCATGGGAGAGCATGTAGTCCCTGTAGAGGAGATAGAAGCCGGCAATGGACGCTGTGGCGGCTCCGGCAAAGAAGGATGCCAACCTCACCCGGAAGAGGAACCCCATCTCTCTCTCCCCCCTCCAATGATGCCTTTCTTCGATCCCCTTGCCTTCCCGGCTTTTATAGCCGCCCCAGCAGCGACGGCCAGGTGTTTGCGTTTTGGTCGGGTAAAGATGGGGGGAGGAGGAATACAGACAAGTGTTCCAAGAATTTGGATCATTATTATTTTTTATCTAAGCTCAATATTTTTTTTATCCAAATAGAAAATAAACTATTAGATCAAAACACGATAAGAGAAGTTTTCCTTCTTTTTCACAAATATATAGTGCTAGATTTCCTAACCTGGTTTGCAACCCTTGTTGGTGGGAATTTTTTTTTTTTTTTCCAAGAACGACTTTTGATCCTACGATTTGCTATGATGATCCGATAAAACTTATCTTAGGATGATCTGACAATAATCTACTCAGACAGGGGATTCTTAATAGTTACGAGCCTCCACTATTTTAGGCGCAGCATGACATGACCTTCCACCTGGTAAGCTCCCTCCTTCGATGCCTATTCCAAACTTCCTATACCGTAATGAATTCATTAGTTTTCGCTTGGTTTCCCTCACAAGAAACATTCTACCTGCAAAATCACAAATGAAAAATATAATGCCTTGAGGTTTTCCCGTCTAACCGAAATATGACATATCTCATGCGATCCTTTGGGCTTCTAAGATTCCACGTATAACAAATATAAGCAATAGTGTTCTTAGGAGACACCAGATGTGTTTAGATCAGACTGATCAAGTTTACCTTCATTTACAGAATCCAAAGGCTATATTTGCTTCATTCCTAACACCAGATCAATGAGAATATACTCGAACATAAACAAATACCTGTGACATCGAATATAAATGGCAACAAGGGATTCACGAAAGGCCCGTTTGAGCAACCATGACTAGTGCTCATCTCATCATCATCTCTCTATATGGCCAAAGTTGTAGACATGACGTGTCTGATAAAAACTTGTCCCCTCTTACTTGAAAAGTCAACTTATTTTGACTTGAACAAGTCGAGACGAGTATCCCAAAGCATTCAAAGCTGATGCACCTCTGATAGTTTCCCAACCCCAATTTACCATCCAAATATCTGAGCCCGTCCCAAAGGAAATTGTAATCGGCATACCAACGGTCTTCCTCTTTCTCCAACATGCATCGCCACAAAATCATCATGTGGAAGCAATGTAATTATCTATCTGGCATCTGGGTATTTGAACCAGGAACAAAGACTATCAAACTAATCATCAAATCAAGTCAAGAAGATGCATTAAAATTTGCACAGTTGCAAAGAATTCTTGTTCTTTTTTTTTCACTTTCAATTTGAAACATGAACTCAAGTACAAGTTGGCAGAGAAGAAAAAATTCACACAAAGGAAAAGCCCCTGGTTATAGTTCAACATAAAAACCTGGGAAAAGATGATCAGAGAGCTTTATCCTGAAATAAATTCCAAACTTTGTTTGGCTGCAATTTCCATCCAAGTAATTGGGTTGCAAGTTTCAACTGGTAACACCTGCCATTAAATAAACCAAACATGTTGGTATTAGTCATGAGTTAAGAGTGGTGCAAAATATGTTTACCACCACCAGAATAATATGACGTGAAAATGATTGGATATGCATGTTAGATCTCAAAATGTATAACCACCAAATGTAACAGAACCTCTGCATAGAGATTGCCCTTGTACATTGATCAAAACACAAGTTACAGGCAACACTTTGAACAAGTGATAAGTTTTGCCAACTAGTTTGTACTTCAATTAGGTGATATTATCTTGGACCAATTGCCTGCCATATTAGATAGAAAATATGCAAATAAATTTCAAAGATATCCTGTTTGAGAAAAAGTGCAAAAAGACTTTTAAAGAAATCATGTTGAATACAATATGTTTCAGAGTTTCAGGGTCTAAACTTGTCAAAAGCCCTTATTAGAGTTTATTAACAATATGTTTCAAATGGTGGTGTTTGTTTCACTTTATCTACTATGTACCTTACCGGTTGAGTTAGGAGCATTTGGTTATATATTTCATCAAACTATATTTGACTAGTGTCGCTACTGAGATTTGGTACACCTAGAAGTTTTGAATTTGATGATGTGCATATTTTGCTATTGCAAGGTTTCCTTGAGCAGTTTTGGAGCAAAGATTTTAATTCAATTCATTGATGTTTAGTTTAAATGAATATGTGAGATTTTGATATAGGACACAAACATATTACTGACCAAGAGGCAAATGATCTGATATGGCAAGTGAGAAAGTCATGGTCCCAGCAATAGAATGTATCCTAATAATTCTTATGGCAAGTTAATTTAATATGGGAATATGATATCTAAAGTGAATGTAATAAATTTCCTACCTTTAACATGAATCAAAATAAATCTGTCTTAATCAATCACATATACCTTGAGAAATTACATTACATCATGCTAATCCTCAACCTATTTCATCTAAGGGTTCTGTTAAACCATACATTAATACACAAGATCAGTATGTTCTCAGCATAGTAGAATGGTATGTATTATCTACTTGAATCAAATTTATGCTATGCAAATACCGGTGTTTATGTATCTACTGTTAAGCCATATGCATCTGTAAGCCCTAACATTTAACAATATAATTTTCTATAATTTCTCAGATAGAATATATGTTAGCAAAATGAACCCCTCAATTCCATAAAAAACTATTAAATTCTTCTAACCTTTCTTCCCATTTTTCTATTGAGTACTATCTTTAACTAAGCCTGGTAGAAACATAGATATAGTTCTATGGAAAGAGAAAGCTTGGAACTGAAAGAAACCAAAATAAAACATAAGCATTAAATTCCAAGTTATCAAAGTGTACAAAAATATAAGAAAAAAAAACTAAAATAGGTCAGTAGTATCTTCATATAGTAGGAAAATGTCTTACTTCTATCGTGAACATTTCACAGGATGCACATTTGGACATACATAATGTACAAGACATTTATTTGACAAGTCCAAATTATGCAAACTTAAATGCCTGAAAACAAGCATCAAATATATCTTACATTATATATGTTTAAATGCCAGTTAGCGACTTGAGTATAATGTGCATAAACAAAAATTTGGTCCAGGTATCAAGAGACAGTAATGCAGATTAGTTTCTCACAGCAGTGGTACCAATTCCTGTTGCAGATCAATTTATCTTCAATTCTGGACCATGATGGCACATGTTGATGTCTAGCATATTAATATGTTAAACAGAGAGATGGGCTAACTGGCATATGAAATCACTGTTTTGATAGTATTGTGTCCTTTTCTGACAAAAGAAAGAAATATTTGATATAGATTAAACCTTATATCATTTATTATAGTTTGGATGTCATCTGGATTCTTTGGCTAAATGTTGCCATGTAAATGAACACAACCCTCGACTATTCAGGTACTCTTTCCAGAACTAGCCATCTAAATGTTAATCCTTGGTAGCATGAGCATAATTGGATGACTTGAAAATAAATCATGCCACCCACCTCATCCATGTCATGCAATTCTCAAGTATGCCATCAAGGTATACATAGTTTCATGCTCATATCATAAAGAATTACCTAGATATGTGTGTTCCGGTTGATCCTTCTTCACATGTTGACAATTATTGAGAATGGCTAAATATGTACCAGATGCATCCACAGCTGGTGCAACCACAAAAACGAAGAAGGGAAGAAGAGGAAGAAGAAGAGATACCAGAGCAGAGGAACCAGAGTACTTCTCTGTGCTGCTCAGCTGCACAGCATTGTGATCTCCAGGCACAGAGCATAGCAAAATGAGTGTGAAAAGAGAGAGGAATCTGTATTGTGCCCTTGCATCCTGCATCCAATCCTCGAAGACTGTAGATCTTGCAACCTACTTAATTGAAAGAAAACCACTTCCTAATGTTCAAAGGTTGCCTGGCTGACGTACCCGACTTGTGATGGAACACAGCAATGGCCTCACAGGTTAGTGAGCCCATGTGGCAGGAAAAGTAGTCAAAACTCAAATAAATAGAAATAAGAGAGAATATGACAAAACATGTTTGCCAAATTAAGAAATATGCACAAACAGATGGATTTTGATCTTTGAAACTTTATGTTATATCTCAATTCTATATACTATTTTATATTATTAATAAATGCATCTCTGTGTCCTTGTGCCAAGTTGGATACTCAGATATGTATCTGAATCTTATTCCCATATCCATGTCCAGGTAATGATGGTGCCATGCCCCAGAAATGCAACCAGGGGACTATATTGGCACCTGACCATCACATCATGATCAGGGGTAGGCACACACTTGGTGGGTCAACAGCAATCCCAAGGGACATTCTGGGCCTGATGTATGACCCTAGGGAGTTTCTTTCTTGTCTAATCTTGTCCTTGTTGAAATTGCATTGAGACAATAACTGTGTTTTTGCACCAATATGGCTCGCTGCTAATGGGAAAGGAAATGAAATGGATCATTATGATAATTTATAATTTGGGAAGAGAACAATTAATCCATATATCGTTAGTCAATGATTTAAAAAGCGCTAAGCACCAAGGTCCCAAAAACGCCCGAGGCACTAGGCGCTCACTCAAGCGAAGCAAGACGTTCTAAAATATTAAAATATAAAAAATATATAATATAATTAATAAATATAATTATTTAAATAAAAATATAATATTAAATTAAAAACAAATATTAGCAGTGTTAAAATCTAAATAGTATATTATTAATCTAATAAATAAATATTATTTGAACAATAATTAATAATCTACTATTAACAGTATATTTACTGTTAACAGTAGGGAATAGTAGAGACCGAAGAAGTCGCGGTGAGAAGCTGAGTCGCAAGTAGCAGACAGCAGCGGAAGTTCCGAAGTCGCGGACAACAGGAGGTAACAGACAGTAGTAAGCAGTGGACAACGACAGCGGCAGCGGACAGCAGCGACAGACAGCAGATAGCAGCAGAAGCTGAGGAGACTCGGTCGACGATAGAGGAAGACTTGGAGGCAATGGGACAAACCGTCGACGGCGGAGGTAGAGGGGGAAATCGTCGGCAGCAAACACAAAGGGAGAAATCATTGGCGACGGAAACAGAGAGAAGCGTGTGTAGGGTTGGGAATTGGGGTCGCGTGCTGATATAACTGCGTTCGTTAGTTGGTTCAATCGAACCAACTAATGCAAATTTAGGCGATTCAATCACCTTATATCAACTGGGCACTCGCCCAAAGCGCCCGGCGCCTGGGCTCGGGCGAGCACCCAAGTAGTGCCTCATTGAAGCACGCCACCTGACCCTTAAACGAGGCGCTCGGGCCTCGTCTCGCCCGAGCGCCTTTTTAAATCACTACTGTTAGTTGCTTTGTTTGTCTATCTAAACTAAACAATGTCACTAAATTGAATTTATATATCATACACAACTTCAAAGAATATAAATAATTCCAACTATAGATACTAACTTATGAACCAAAAGATTTAAGTATGGACTTACTATCTCCTTGAAATCAAGCCAGCTCCAGTTGACCTGGCAAAGTACAAGTAGCCATGCTAATTAAACTTATCTAGATTGAAAATCAGAAAATTGCATGATCTATAGTCTTGCATATATACATATATACATATATAATCAAACAATTCAAATAATACCTCCCTTGCTGCTTCCCTCCAAAACTATGTCTTCCATTACTTGGTCCTTGGCATTGCGAAGAGGACAAACCCGTTTTATCAAGGTTTGCTGTACTTCCAACACTAAAGTTGAAAGAGGAATGGCCAGTTTGGAATTCAGATGGGAAACCATTAGCTTCTTGGACATTCTTTAATTTACTTGAAATTGTGACATCTGATAGCCCCTGAATAATGTTAACTCTGATACCATTTGGTTGTTGGTTCTGTGTTGTCAAAATCTGGGAGCAGTTGTTACTTGAATCTCCAATATCAGTAACAGCAGCACCAACTGCAGAAGGCATGGTGTTTGCAACCTTTGATTCAATTGATTGTGCCATTTTCTGGCGACTGATTTGAGCAACAGGAGTGACAGCAACTGAATGCAATAATGATGTGTAAGGAGCAGAAGATGCAGAAGCAGCAGCAACTTTGGCAACAGCAGCAGTTGCAGATATAATTTGTTGTGCTCCCTCGCGAAGGTGAATAAAGTCCCCTTCAATAACAAATAACTGGAACCACAAACTTAGAATTTTACTAACATAACAGTTCAAGTTAACATTAGATAGCTCAAATGTTGACGGCTAAAACCTACTTCAGGATAATGTGAAATAAAATCATCAAGCCTTCCATGGTACTTCTTGTAATGGTGCCAGTGAAGGGGTGCAAGCATTTTCCCAAGCCTATTTGGTAGCTAAAACATACATAACATACAAACTTAATACGAATTATGAAAGATATTATAACAATCAGTAAATTTGCTATACTGTTTTGATGCTAAATAGTTATACTCACTGTTGTACTGATTCTGATTCTACCATCTGATCCGGCAGGAACAGCACGGACAATGCAAGCCAAAAGTGATCTTTCATCTAAAAGATTGGGTTCCACTAGAGGTTTACCAGGCATCAAAATACTTGAATCAGGTGCAGCCGATACAGCAGATTCTTCAGTACCATTTAAACTGATAGAGGAGCTACTTTGACTGGCTGATAACATGATACCAGAAGTTAGACGTTGTTCAGATTCGAGCACCTGATCTTGTGATTGGTTATCTGCAGTTATACTGGCCTCAACCTGCATAAACAAAGAATCAACAATACTACAAGAACCTCTACATGCCTGTAGACTGATCTATTAGCCTTTTCAACCAGCATATTGGTGTTCATTGAGATCTAAACTGGCAGCTTTCATTCTTTAATTTTTAACATTTATGAATGGCATAAAAGGGGTACATACCCCAGGTTCATTCTTCTTTTCTGGTGGGTAGAATTCTCTTGCTGAATCCAAGTGAGAAGGTGCATCTACGGTCCCTTGTGGTTGTTGTGTAAATGTGTTCTGTTAACCATCAATGAAAAGTTAGCATAAGCAATAAGTGTTACCTAAGAGACATCAGAGTAGCAATCCATGATCCAGATAAAAGCAGTCTCTTATTAGCAACCTGAGGTTTTTCACTTGAATCATTGCCTGGAGGGCCAGACATCTGTTGCTGGTCTGTGTGGCTGTTAAGTTGGTCAGGATGGACCATCTGTATTTCACCAAGCAGATTGGAGCTAGAATGGGTATCTGGTCTTAAAATATCTTGCTCTGTTTGGGATGTCACGAACTTGCTCTGATTAGGTATCTGTGAGATGTCTGATGCAGTCTAAAAGAGAAAAGAAATACAAATTAATGCTGAAAGTGGCATTGTAAAAACAAACACAAGGCTTTGAAATTCTGTGCTACCAGCACCTGATGATTTTGCCAAAGTTGGTGAGGTGGAACCATAGGCATTGATTGAAAATGACCCATGTGAGACTGAGGAATAGGAGAATTGGTGGATGCTACAGACTGTGGATCCATTACATAACTATGCATTGCAGACATTTGGCCAGGAGGAATTAAGGCATTCATACTAATTATGGAAGATGGCACAACTGAAACACTGGGGAGAGGATCAGTCTGAAAAAAAAAGAAAAAGAAACTTAACATCAAAAGGAGAATACTCTTTAATTATAAATGATATCAGGCAAATATTTAAATTTTAATTTTCTTTGTGCACTAAAATAAACCAGAATAAATAATGCAGCCTTACAATGTATATACTAATTTTTAGTTGAATAGCATTTACATTGATCTAGCTTACATTTATTTGGCATAGAATTTGAGGATACCGGTGTTTGAAGCCGTATAATTACTGTGAACAACAGATCCATGAGTGCAGTGACGAGGAGTTGTCAGGACTGTTAGACAACTTCTGGTCCATTGGCACAGGCCAAACAAGTGTTCCCACAACCCAAGACAACATGTGACCACAGGAAACCCAGTAATCCATTGCTATTGATAAAAAAAAAAGATGCAAAATAGTTTTGAATTGAGTGTGTAATGCATACACTCAATTGTTATGAAATTTTCAAAGATCAGGAATCTTATTCCTAATTTTTTAGTTTGTTTCCCTTTTCTCACATAGCTTTTCCCTCTCATTTTTTTCCTTTTCTTGTGTGCAGGACGGAGGGTGGCTCTCAAGTGGATTACAAAGTAGAAGCTAGAAGCTACTGATTTATATCTTGTTCATATTTAGTTGGTTTGTATCTACAAAAAATGGATAGCATCTATGATTGAATTCCCAATTTTTGTTATCCAGATCATGTGCCACCACACTCTGAGATGCTGCAATACCAAGAACCAGAAAACAGAACCCAGATCATAGTATCAAGAGATAAATGGTAATATGGTTACATATGCCAAAAGTAATACTCAATTAATGACTCTTGCTCATTTTTATTATTTTTATAATTTATTTTAAGACTTCTAGTCACAACCCGAGTCTGATGGGCTAACTGATCTATCAATTTCATTGATCCCAAACCACTAACAAAAATATTTAAGCTAAAGTTGACAGTAGTACACCCATCAGACCCTTATGAGTCAATCTTAGTCTTGCCCAATCGGGGTGCTACAATCTCCCCTACTTAAGGGCTTGACATCCTTATCAAAGCCCAGCATAGCCCAGATCAAACCTAGTATTGTGCATGTGAGTTATAATAGTCGAGGTGTTATAATCTCCTCATTTAAGGGCTTGACGTCCTCGTCATAGCCCAGTGGTGGCTACACGCCGTGACGAATCCTCTGACTCCATCCACGAGTGGCCACTATACCCTAATACTAGGTCGCCTCTGATACCATTAGTCACGACCCGGTCCTGATGAGCTTATTGGACTGTCAACTTCGTTGAGCCCAAACCATTGGCCAAAATGTTTAAGTTCAATTGGACAGTAATATATATATCAAACCTTTATAAGTCAATCTTAGTCTTGCGATTCTTGCCCAATCGGAGTGTTATAATCTCTCCCACTTAAGGGCTTGACATCCTCGTCAAGACCCAATATAGTCTAATCAAACCCTAGCATTGTGCATTTGAGTCATAACAATCAGGGTGTTACACTTCTAATCAAGGTTAGTACTTAGTATAATATTTTCGAAATGAAAAGAACCACCTTATGTGGTAGTACAGTAGCATCTTTTCATTGGTTTTACTGCAAACCAGTTATGTACACAACCTTAAAGGCAAATAGGCACAGAGCACCTTAATCATTGTATTAAATTTTATAACATGCCATACATGATGAGTAGATGCCACACATGATCATAGAATGGTGCTTTGGATACAAAAAGGAAAAAAGAAAAAAGAAAAAGATTCAAAGATACAGCAAGTTACTGAATCTACCAACTTCAGTTAGTGACACAAATATATACTGGCTTGAACTCTGTACCATGTAAATCAAGGAATAATTTAGGAAGCACACACTAAATAGCACAAAGTTTACAAGACACACCAGCCAAATTGCATGAGCATTTCTCCTAATAGCACATATCTATAAATATGCCATATATATGGTTATCTAAACTGTAAGTTGATAAACAGATGCTAATTAATCAATTTTATAGACTTGAATTTACTAAGACATCAAGATTTAGAACTTCCAAATAGTGCAACATTAACCTTTTCCACATATTCCTATAAGATGATACTAGAATGTAGCATGTATCATAAACCCACAAAAGAAATTTCCAAAAATGATTACACTAATGCATCTATATACAAGAAATAAATGAGCTGAGCGAAGCTGGAGTAGTGACATGAGAAGATGTAGAACAAGACTAAAGAGAACTTCAATAGAAACAGTATGAAGAGAATCAGTGACTCTTTTCAACTAGATGTTGCTCGCAAGATCACTCAAGGGAGGAGGTGATGTCCATGACGCATTAATTGATGGGACCTTGTGACTTATCACTGCATCTACATGCAAAACTAGTTCTACAATTTCCTCGGAAAGGCATACTATCTACAAAAAGAAGGCCACTATATATCTGGAATGCTATCACAGACAATGACAATAATGTTAAGTATCATTTTTCACATATAAATATCAAACTACTATGAATAATCAACACAGTAATGAAATTTTATTCATTGATTGCCATCAAATAAAAGAAACAACAGGTTAATTGCAAGGTTGCATATCAGGAGGTGAGATTGTTGATGATTAAGCTCTGGTATGAATGGATAAGTTAAAGAGCTTTAATGTTTCATCCTACCTTAGTAGAAGAATTGGAAGCCGAAACATGAGGCATGGTCCTATCTACACTTCCATTAGATGTGAATCCCAAGTGAGTATCTGATTTTCCATCATCTTTCACATTGATCTGGTTTCCATCATATGAAGATGAATCCACTGAGTTCTCATGAGTAACTTGCAAACCATCTATAAACAGTCTATTATTTCCCCTTGCCTCAGCCAACTCTAGCTGAAGCTGCTGGATAGCTTGCATATGATAGTGCTCCATTTCGACAAACTAGAAAAAGAAGTCAAACAATAACAAAAAGGGAATGAGGCCAAATTAAAATATTATCATAGCAAAACATAATAACCAATTTAAAAAATATTGTGACGAACAAACAAATGATATGTAGATTGCTGTAGCACAAAAGAAAAAGCAATTGCAATCCAACCTGCCGTTGAGAACCCATCCAATATTGGTTAAACTGCTCAGTACGTTCTCGTAGCTCAGCTTGTAACGACTGGTTAGTAGAAGACTGCAAAGCATCCATTTCTTGAACACGTGCGATCCAAGCTTGCGCCTCCCTTAACTGTTCATCCTTGAAAAGGATAGTTTCTTGTACGACTCTATGCTGAATGGAAGAATTTGTTATAGTTGATTTCTAAATTGTTATAAATTGATGAAACTAAATGATAAGTTCTATTTCAGGAGACAAATTAACAGATAAACATTATAGAAATGTATAAAGTTAACACAGAATAACTAAAAAGTAATACATAATTACTAGCAAATATGAACTCACAATTACTAAAAATTAAGGACACACACAGTTTAGATAATAATTTAAATAATAAAAAGGTTCAAGATAATTATACAAGCTTAATCCATGGTAGTCAGATCACCACAGACAATCCGCTTGATTGGCACTCAATTTCTTGAGTTATTACAACTCTTAATAGCAAATCAGAACCTCCACATTTTCCTAGTACTATAGTATATAGATTCATCTAACACATTTAGGCATCATTTCAAGTGCCTCTTAAATCAGAGACACAATGAACTCCACAGAAGTGTTACATGGATAATAGTGTCAAACCCCACAAGATGTCACAAAAGTATCCACATATCCATTGGTTGGACACTAATTGACTCCTAAGTTATGTTAGTCTAATGTTAAATAACAACGACAATACAAGAAGTGAATCTTTTTATGTTTCCAAAGCTACTTATAACATAAAATCTAATACTCATGTTCTCATAAAACAACATGCATCATATTATTATTTTTTATTATTTTCCTTGTATGTATCCCCATGTCTCCATTTTGTATGTTTGCCAAACCGGACAGTTGGATTCATGTCCATATTATATTCTCTTCTCTGGGTCCATATAATACTGCTCCATAAAATCAAAACAGTTGACAAGTGATACACACTTTCACTGTTTATATCTGCCCCTATAAGATAACTTAAGGTCCATGCCACAGGAACATAGGGGCAAACCAATCATCATCAAGAAAAGCTGATTTAGAAACTTCATTCCAGATGATCCATTTTTACAAATTAGATCAAGTAAAGCCAATTGTCTTCCACATCAACATGTGATATGGATACCTAATGTATAAGGAAACCATCTGAAAGCCATTTGCACAAACACATTTGAATTTAGATGTTTCCTAACTTCTTCAAAGCTAACCGATACTAGCAGTCAGTCCTAATCAAAATTCAACAAGTGTAGCGTATATGGTACAATAAGCATATACATGAATAAACAATTCGAATTAACAAAATAGATCCTTACAACAACCACCACAAAAAGGACGAGTAGTACCAAATACCAAGTAAATAATGCTTGAAGGGTCCCATTGAGATGTTGAAACCGCAAATATCACTTCATTAGGTTTCAATTTATGAAATAGAAGGTACATTTTAGCTCAAGAATATGAATTTATATAAAGTAGGAAAAAGAATTGTCACATCAACCTGCTCCTGCAATGCAAGAAACTGAAACTAATGCTTAAATGGTGTCATTGAAACGTTAGCAATCAAAATATTACTTCATTAGGTTAGGTCTAAATTCCATGTGATAGAGGATGGACTCAGAATCATAGTACATTTAAAAAATGTAGGGAAAAAAGAAAACATGTGATCAACCTGTTCTTGCAGTGCAAAAAATTGATTCTCTTTCTCTTGAATATGCTCTTGGAGATCACGTATTTGGTTCAGAAGTTGTGCTCTTTCTGCTTCCGATTTATCCCGCTCCCTTCTGCATAGGATAGTAAGTTCAAGACTCTGGTAGGGGTTTTATCAAACCAGGATGCAGAAGGTTAATTCTATATGCAAAAGATTATTCATTCAATAAACAATTAATCACTGCATGAGAACCGCAATAAGTAGTTTCCTAATAACTAGGAACTTCAAGTCTGCAACTAAAGGATCTTAGAATAAAGGGACATACCTGACCACCTAAATAATTGCATGATGATAAAAGCAAAAAAATTAATTATGGCACTGAAGGGAATAGTAGCTGAATGTTTAACTGACCATACTTGATGTATGTTAGCAACTCATCACCAAGAGAAACAGCATCTCAGAACATTTATACATACAGAACAGCCCAAGCATGGGCCAGAATGGAAGATAGATAAAGGATTCTGACTATAAGATCAGAGTAAAAAAATCACAGAATATAACACATTTAATGAGGCATAATAATTATTGATTTTTATGAGGAAACTCAAATACCTGAAAGCTACTAGCTCCTTGTTTTGTTCTCTGAGAAGGTCCTCTTTTGCCCATGCCTAAATAAAAGCAAAGGCATAAAACAAATCCTTGAAACAAAACTCAAGCTTGCCACTCGAGAAAATCAAAAAGAGGAGAGAGAGAGAGAGAGAGAGAGCCAAAACAAACTTCTTCAGTGTCAATTTTCATAGCATGTAGCTCTCTATCCTT